AATGGTCTATGGTCGCGTGTTTGGTCGCGTGTTTGCGGCGCACTAATGCCGTTATGAGCGCGTGTTTAGGCCCTTTCACGTGGTGTTTTTGTATATTTGCCCATATTTCTTATCGTTTATTTGCATTCACATACTCGATGATGGCAACACAGGTGGTGATGATGGCAAGTTCTTCCATTCAGAGCGTAATGGTCCAATGGCTAGAGTACCGGACTCCCTCGTGTGGGGACCGGGTTGGGATACCGGTTGCGCAATGGTCCCTGAGCGCTTATATGGCCATTGCAACCGCATATCCTCCATAAAGTGTCACAACGACATATGTCGCGCTCGCCTAAACAAAGTTACCCAATTTCCAGCCGTACTTTCGTCATTACTCGCACCAGTGCCCAAATTCCCACTCTAAATAGCACAAAACGGGATTCGTGTTCGAAACTTCCAACTCATCAAAATGGACAGAGGCAATCTGGTGACTACTTATACTTTGCTGGTGGCCTTGGGCACTACATGACACATGATGTGGTGGTGTTGTTTGCATGGCTTCATGAATGTCTGGGTGACCTTATAATAGTCTACATAAAATAGTTTGCAGTAGTTCGTGGGAGCCAAGCACAAAAGAGAGCTTTAAGCCTTGAAGGGATGTTTCATATCTTTACGGGAGTTTAACCTAAACCAGCCATTTTGAAGATCATTCGGCACAGTTCAAAACCCTGCCCTGCCCCTCAAAACCCTACCGAGCCCTCAAGCCTCTAGTTTCTGAGCTTCACGCCCGCTAAGATGTGCAAACTATGTCAAGCTTACACAGGCACTGACGACTCCATAATGACGTCATTTAAATCCTGCCATTGCACTGGTCATCGGCGCTCGATGTCAACAAAAATGTAACCGTCCAATTGTGGACATCTGGCGTTCGTGAGCACGATTTCCGGATATAACGACCATTAAGTCACACCCGACCAATATTGCGCATGCTTTTCAAGATTCTGACACTAATTACGCGCTGCGCGACATAAAACAAAAAGTTATACTAACTAACGGTATTTCCTTCTATATAACTATACACAACTGTATACATATATACACGTGTGTATGTGTGTGTGTGTGTGTGTGTGTGTGTGTGTGTGTGTGTGTGTGTGTGTGTGTGTGTGTGTGTGTGTGTGTGTGTGTGTGTGTGTGTGTGTGTGTGTGTGTGTGTGTGTGTGTGTGTGTGTGTGTGTGTGTGTGTGTGTGTGTGTGTGTGTGTGTGTATGCATGTATATTTGGAACTTGAAAAACTACAAGTGCTTCAAAATGTAATAGCTGTCAGCTGGCTTTCAATCAATGCCATGCAAGGTGCGATGACGCAATGAAAGAATGACGTATTGAGAAGCGTATTTACATAGGATAACAGATTTTGTTGTCTAAAACGATCTTTTTCGCTTATGAGCATTCCAATAGTGAGTTTATTTCATAAAAGCTGATGTTTGCTTGCATATCTTCATATGTAAAACATTTACTTCAAAAAGGCATGGCTACTGTGCACTGAACGATCTCCAAAATGGCCATTCCAGTTGCAAACCCCATACAAATGTGAGGTATTCCCTTTATACGCAAGCTAATGGTACAGCTTAACGTACTGATTATGACGGTACATTTCGTGACCACCACCTAGAAGTTGTGACCAACATCGGTCTATTTTGCTCAGGGTTATTCACACCGGACTCCTAAGATTTTTCCGAGATTCAGATCGATTACAGAGTTGGACACCTTAACTAAGACGGTGCATTTCGTGTTCGGCCGTATTTAAAGATATGACCGCCAAATGTACGAAGTTCAAAGCTGTTGAGTACGACCCGCGACGATCGCTCTTATACTCACACCAACGATAGTGTTTGACAAGGTCATTATTGTGCGGCATCTCTTCCAGATACATCCAAAGCTATGACCACCAGATGTCTCCAAATCTTAATGGTACTGAACCCGAGTCCTTACGACTCTCTTAGAGCTCATATCGATGGTAGAGTTTAATATGCTGATTATTATGGTCCAGCTCGTTCCGTGCCACAATAAAAACCTCAGAAGGCCATCAAGTGCTAAAATAATTAAATCAAAACTCCTAAATAAGTCAGTTGTGCTGGCCTTACTCCTCGGAAAAACCAGGGGAATGGGAATATAGTTTGGTTGATATTTCGGCAACACGTCTTTACACGGCAAGGTGTAAAGTCTTGTCTTTAAAGTCTTTACACGGCAACGTCGGAAGCAAAAGCGGAAGTGAATTCAATTCTGCTTTTGTTTCGATAAAGGCATGTTGCCGAAATATCAACCCAACTATATCTCCATTCTCCTGTTTTTTTTCCGAGGATTGAGACTAATGCTACTGTCTCAGTCACGTGGATAATGTTCTTTGCTAATGCACTTAACAACTTACATTAATCAAACTCCTACGATCTCACCCTATTTCTTGACAATAATGGTGTTCTGCACGCTGATAACCATGCTGAATTTCTCTTAAATGAATGTTCACATATGGTGGTGTTGAAGCAAGCACCAGATATGATAAAATAAGCTTAGTTATAACCATTGGCATACTTTTAAAAAAAGGTGAGCGCACTAGAAAGCACGATACCTCTTTCTCGTAACTATGCTCTTCACTACGTCATTGCTTGATTGTGTCATCTTAACTTGCACAACACAGACCTAGAGCCAATTGACGGCCGTTACATTTTTAAATACGTGCTCACGAACGCCAGATATGAATGACTCGACAATTATATTTGTCTCAGCCTTGTTCGCCACGTGGAGAATGGAATGCCAGGATCTGAACGGCGCTATTATGGCGTTATGGAGGTCATATGGATGCCTGGGTGACCTTGAAAGTCTTGCACGAAAAAGTTTGCACATCTTCGCGGGCGTGCAGCTCAGAAATAAGAGGGCTTTAACCGTTAAGAATGGCTGGGATGTGAACTGCATCGAATATTTAAGATGGCTATTCCAGTTTAAATCCCCATACAAATGAGGAACACTCACTTTAGATGTCATCCTCAGAATTGTAGCCAAAAGACGCCACCAAACTTCAAGCATTGTTGGTTTTAAAGGCCATGAGCGGCGATTACTCTCAGACGCAAAGCATCCTTAGCCGACGTCCCTGTCAAGCAGCCTTTGAAATCCACGTAGTAAAGGCGCGTGTTGTTTTCCGACGCGCTGAGATCCGTAAACTACACAGATTTCTCTCACGACGGCTTTGTATCTGTATCTTTATTCGTAATAACTTTCGAGCACGGACCTCGAATATGTTGTAAAAAGACGTGCCACTGACAATGTTCGGCGTGCTGATTACGAAGATGTATGTCATTTACCGCTACATATCATCGAAATATTACCGACCCCTGGTGCAACCCGCTTGCCAGTATAATGTATGATGCACTTCAGCTGCAATCCCTTCGGCACATGTAGACGAGCTTTTTCCCACCAGTATTATTATTCCACAAAGCCGGCGTTGACGAACCATGGCGATGCCCACGTGGTCGAAGACGGGTAGACGGGTTCGTGCCTCACGATCAGCTACCATCGGCCCGGAGCGCCACATGCAAACCATTTCCGTCAGCTTATGCATAACGAACCAGGGATAATCTGGAAACCCCATAAATCAACTCTTCGCCGTACTATGTAACCTGCAGTGAGACACAAACACGCGTGCCAGGTCCTCAAATATGAACCATATTTGTCAGTGTGTGCGGCGTATTACAACACAGCGTCAGCTGTACACGGGCTACACTGTTTGCAGCTGCAGGGTCAATATGCTGGCAAGTTCGTGATTGGTACCGACGGCTTGCCATAGTATGTGTGGAATGAGATGCGAAAACAGCGAAAGCAGTGAAATGTGTGCATTGATATATTTTCGACTTGTTAATGAATTTGCGCATGTTTGTACACTTCTTTGGAAGAAAGTGAACGCGCGGGTAAACGGCATGGGCAGGGCCGTTATATCTCGGCTAGCAGACGAGAACGGGTGTGACCATCCAGGCGCAGGGTGGGTAAAAGTATGACGGCCTTACCCGTGAATCTGCATCATAAATCGGCAATCTTAACTGAGTCATTGTCCACATTTGTCCCTTGTGCTGCAATATTGAATTGTTCATCAACTGGCGTGTTTAAGACATCGACCACCACGAATAATCCTAAAACAGGAGTACTTTACAGACATCTTACCATCTTACCTTCAAAATATAATGATTACAATGATGAAGACCGAAATAAAACGTCGCTGTCACTGTTTGCGCAATACTGACGCACCAAGACAGATTAGCTAGCGTTTGCTTTTTCAAGGTGGAGTTCTGCACAGTGTGCAGGTTGCTTATTTCATCGCATCTGATGCTTGCTGCAATATGTTCAAGAGTGAAACGTTCCCTTTAGCATCGCAAGAATATAACATGGAATATGGCATTGGACGCTATAGTTATCGTTCCGTTGGCCCCATACATTTCTTCTGGTTCTTGATGCGCAATATCGAGACCACGTCGCAGCAATGGCGCCGTCAGGCTGGGAGTGCTGCGCCTCTGAAGCGCTAGGAAGTTCGCTTTCGCAATTTTTAAAGTTCGAAGGTAACAAAATAAAGATGCACCTGTTTCATCATTATCAGCGATATTTGCATCCTGAAAGGCGATGTATGCCCAATGCTCTTTTGTGACGTAAGGTGCCTACGTCTTCCACCTACGCCGTAACTGACCTTAAGTCTGTCACAATCTTTCCGTGTCATAGAGTGATCAATCACAGCCAGGGTATGATTAAGGTTATGTAAGCTATGCTGCGGTTTCATCCGCTTATGAGCAGACCTGAATCCTTCCCTAAAATCTCTAGGATTTCATTTATAATGAATCTGCTTCCTCCGACTGCGTCACGCATTTTGAGTTAGTCATCCGCAAACCAAGCACACGAGGACGTGTTAAACGAGCTCGCCCGCCCCATCGCCAAACAGGGATAGTCCGCTGCGTACATTACGCGGTCATGCCAACCAAATACCTTTGTAAACACTTGGTCAAATTTGCACACGTCTGGGTGTAATACATGAACTTTCACGTGTCGCTGAATGTTGTGGCAGGTTTTAAAGTTAACTCGTTATAACTGTCCACGACTGATTGTCACCGACAGAACAGGATGTTCGTGCTGGTTGTCACCGACCGGTCAGGATGTCCACAACTGATTGTCACCGACAGGTCAGGATGTCTGCGCTGATTGTCACCGACAGGCCAGGATGTCTGCGCTGATTGTCACCGACAGGACAGGATGTCTGCGCTGACTGTCACCGACAGGACAGGATGTCTGCGCTGATTGTCACCGACAGGTCAGGATGTCCACGACTGATTGTCACCGACAGGTCAGGATGTCTGCGCTGATTGTCGCCGACAGGTCAGGATGTCTGCGCTGATTGTCACCGACAGGACAGGGTGTCTGCGCTGATTGTCACCGACAGGTCAGGATGTCTGCGCTGATTGTCACCGACAGGACAGGATGTCTGCGCTGACTGTCACCGACAGGACAGGATGTCTGCGCTGATTGTCACCGACAGGTCAGGATGTCCACGACTGATTGTCACCAACAGGTCAGGATGTCTGCGCTGATTGTCACCGACAGGACAGGATGTCTGCGCTGACTGTCACCGACAGGACAGGATGTCCGCGGAGCAACACTGATCTGGCGGCCAGTACTGATAAGCGAATAAGCACCTGCCTACGCTGCGAGTCTATAGGCGACGGCTGGCGGCCCACAGGGATGTATTTGCTGCGGCAACGTCTAGCGACGGCACGAGCGGAACATCCAACGTCGCCTTCGAAAGGTCGGCCGGGTCACCGGGCTACCCTCGGCCTCGCGATGACACCCCTGGGACCGAGTGTCCTGACAACACAAAAACATTCGGGCCCTCTGGCACGCCCTCCGGTGCCCCCTCTGATGAGGCCTCGTGGGTCACGGGCGGTTGGACGACGTCATATCCTGACCACACTCAAACAGCCACGTATGACGGCACATGCACCATCCTCGTCGCGTCCCCGTATGCTGAAGTCTCGCTGACCACCGACAGCTCGACAGCGCCATGGAACGGAACTGTACGTCGCACGTGCAGGCATACAGCGCGACAGCCCCTGGCAGTGGCGCCCTGGCAGTGGCGTCATGTGCGCCGCCTCCAGCTGGTACATATCACAAGTGAAGCGCAGCTTTCTGAGGAGCATCTGAGATCCTCAACCACCGGCACCACGCATCCGTCACATGACTGCGTCTGTTTAGGAGCACGCTACGCACTCAGTGCCAGAACGGTGGGCGCACAGCTAGCGAAACCGCTGCGGCCAGATGAGGCGCCACGAACCAACTGGCGGCTGAGCTATACCCGCCCCGTCGCATCATTGCAAGCCTTGCGCCCGGGCACAACCGTTTGCACATACCTGAGTGAAAACATACAAGTTCCAGACGGTGCACTCTGACGGTCGCCACTGGCACGCCAATCGGCGGACAAACACTGACGGCTATTGTCTTCTGCCTCCGAGTTACCATGGCGGCGGCGGCTTTTCTGCCGCGAAAATCGCGAGCTGGCCCTCCACATCGAACCGAATCGCACCACAGACATCGCGCCGAGATAAAACGGACAACATTCAGAACTAAAGAGGCGATCATGTCCGTCAGCACAACACATGATAACAATACGTCATGACAAACATCGCAGGTCTCGGTTCTGAAGGCGACTGAAAGTCCTCAACAGCATTATCGTATGGGCGGCATCCACACGTTGACTAAACAGTCGTCAAAACTTTCACCAGCAACCAACTGGCGCCCAAGAAGACGGCAGTCTCTGACCTGAGCTCATGGGACAAGGTATCTCAGGGACAATGGTTTGATCACGCGGAAAGCACGGGTCTCGTTGGGAACCGGCGTCGTCATGACACCAAGCTCGCTGGACCATACGACACGCACACGCACAGCCAGGTCCGTACACTGGCGGGCCGCGGCCCAGGCCGGCGGGTTTGACTGTCGCTCCGCCGGGAGGGCCACGCCGGCCGGGCGGCGTCTGCCGACGCAGCGACGACGCTCCGGCCCCGCTCACACGTAGAAGATAATCTCCGGGATCTGGCCGTCCTCCACGGACGTGCCGTTGTTGTTACCGGTCGGCGCCTCGAAGTGAAACGTTACCCTGCCGCCGCCGCTGGCGCACTCGACGGGCACGAGCCGCGAGCCGTGCGTGCCGTAGTACGAGTCGAGGCCCTGCGGGGAGCGGCGCGCGTCAGGTGTGCGCCGCTGCAGCATCAGCGGCCGGCCCGTCCACGGAGCGGGGCTGGCAGCGCTGGCCTCGGCTGAGCTGATGGCGGCGGCGGCGGCGACCGCGTCTGCGCTCGATCAAAATATAAATGACACACGTGTGACATCCCATGATAAAAAAATGTGATTTCATGGCCGAGCATTACTATTTTTGCTGGTATTCAAGAACCTTTGGTTCGGCCAGTCCTGGATAGTCCTTGACGGACAGATGGGACAATCAGGACAGGGGTGGTACAGCATGCATGAGGAATTTATGGCAATCCGTTACAGTAAGGCCACTCCTTTTTTACAGTTACAGTAAGTTAGTAAGTATGGCAACCCGTTACAGTAAGGCCACTCCATTCGTTCGAATCACTCCCCAATACAGTGCATACGTCTGAATAGAGCTGTATCGCATTACCGTCCAGATCCCACACATGAGGCACCGTAACGGCACCACCATTCAGGCATGAGCACGCTCGCGTCGACCATAAATGAAACGACAGCCTGACATCGCCAACTGCAGCGGCGCAATGTTACAGCCCTTGCTGCGCTCGCCATTGGTTAATTTCGACGGACATCACGGGTGGTCCACATAGTCACAACCTAGCCCCACGCCACCGTTCATACAGCCAACCGAACGCGTTCACGTCGCATTCACTCTTGCTCGCACGTACATATCGAGGTCGGTGCTGGACCTCCTGTTCCGTACTCTACATCGCACGCCACGCACGCCAGCGCACGGGTCGGTGCGATTCCGGAAGCCCCGCACCCTCCGCACATCGACACGGACGGGTTACCTTGAGCGTGACGGACGCGATGTACTGAACGCCCGGCTCGACCTCCAATGGGCCTCGAAACATGGCGCGGAAAGTGCTGTCCGATCCGTCGCTGTGCACGGGCACCTCGTGACTTGCCAGCACCTGCCGACGGGCGGCCACACTGGACCTGTCACGGGCACAGAGTACGGCACCGCCGCGCCACTGCCGAAATGCCACTACCCAAACACACTGAAAATAATGCCCTCTGGTGTGCATTCAGGTTATACCAGTTGCGGCTTAATTTACTAAGCCGGCCCCCAAATTCTCAGTGTGCGAATTTAAGAAAGATCTACACGTTTCTTCACCTACCAGTCATGGAACTCCGCCTTCTTAGCCATGGCGGGCCATTTTCAATATTGCTTTTGGCTTTGGGAGACCAGCATTCGGAGCGCCAATTCCGTTCGACTCCTTTAAACAGTTAAGCCCCTGACGACTGGCGAACGCTGTCAAACCATATGCAATCCCAATAATGGTGTTCAACTGTATACCACGCTGCAGGATATGACGTCACGGCCTCAGGTGCCGCCCTCTGAACCATGAGGGCGAAGCACCAATAGCCGGTGCCTCGAGGTACCCGGACACAGGTGAAACTATTTTTGGACATTATGAACAGTGGACAATATGGCACAGACCTGCCATTTCTTTCCGCACTTAGCTCTGAAAGCGCCCACGACACAAAACATGATGGAGCGTCGTCAACGGATCACAAGCATGGCCGGGGGTCGTCCTATTGGTAAGCACAATATCGACTCCTAGGACAGATTCCACTCACACCTGACAGATGCGGAGTAGCAAATCATGCAGTCACCGCAGCCCTGAACGTTTTCCCAGTAAACACGGCTCGGATGACGTCCCGCGACACTAGCTTTGCTGTCGGTCACAAACACGTTGAAGGGCGACGCTACTGTCCAGACATCGTGAAGAGAAAACGATACAAATTAGTTAATACCGGTATATCGGACTACAATTTCATGGGCGTTTTAGGAAGTGTCCGTCTTTGGGACAAATTCCAAAGGCATAGCGTAGTGAAACAAGACCAGCTACGTCTAAAAATAGCACGGGGAAGTTCCGCTGCAGTACCACCAATATGTAATACGGAGATTAATTTCTATTATCTCGAGTTCAGATTATTCGCTGTTAGCATTTCGTCACAGCAATATGCTGCATTCCTTCTTAGTAGCCCCAGAAGCCCCTTGGTAGGCCTACTCAGCGACAACTGCAATTGCTGCGACTGCCTTCGTCGTGATGACGGGGGGGGGGGGCAGAATCTGCTAAGGGCCGTCGGTAGCTTTTATGGCCTGGAGATGCCACTTCTGAGCTGTTATAACCGCACATTGCGGAGCTGTCAGCTTAAAAGTGGCACCTCTACTCGCACGCATGCCTTCAGCGCCAATGCACGCCTGTGATTGCAAAGTGGGTGGCGAAGGCCACTTACCGAGAACCGCATTGATCGAAGTTCGAACTAGTGCGTCATTATATACCATGCGATACTCTGTTTACGAAGCCAAGGTGCACTTCGAGAAGAGTCATGGGGCCGTAGGGAGAAATAAAACTCATAGTATAACGTTTCGTTTCGTTTAATTAGAGCCTGATATTTGTGCACCTTGTTACCTAAAGAGTGTTTCAAGCTTTCGTAGCACTTATAACGCGAGCATTTTTACGTATTGGTGTATTGCAATCATTACAGAACACAAACGCTGGCAAAAGCAAGGAGCATAAGATTCATGACTCCGATAGTGGCGAACAGGTGGTCCGTCGAGATTTTCCCGCCAGAGCAGCTACTTCAACTTGAAATTCTGAGCTATTCAGGACTTCGAGAAAACTCGTAATACCAATCAAATCGGCCACGTCTGATCCAACAGTGCGGAAAAAGTGCAAAAAAATGCGGCATACTCTTCTTCAAGACAGCACATTCGTGCTGATTAGCAGCCAGATGAAGCAGGTCCATCCAATCGTGCGGGAAATTAGCAAGCAGATCACGCTGCAGTTAGACCCATATTACGCCATTGTGAATCAAGCACGCGATATAAGGGAGCTTAAAATTGTCATATCCGAGTTGGCAGGACATATTGTCGTCCTGGGTTCGGACGGAACTGGAGTTACCACGGTTGAAAATGCAGTGGTATCTGCCGTTTACTGTCAGCAGTTAAATGGCAAGCTGCTGCATTGGTCTACGTGCCAACTCTATCCAAACGTGTTAAATTTGCGTGCGCTGTTTGCCTTGTTACTTGATGGTGTTACCGCACGTCCATGGCGGCCATATCGGTAAAAAGCCGAAGGAACATTCGCAGAAATAGCCGATGGTATCGCACGCCACCAGTCTGGTTTGGGCCGATTTGAATACATACCAGAGCATTGTGCATCAACTGGCGGCGAGCACCGCAAAAGAGCGCATTTTAGGTGATTTGACGCTCAGATAGCTACGGCTTTGAACATGGTCAGTTGACGGATACTGGCAACACGGCTTGTTCGCATGTTGATATATAACGACTGTGTGAAGCCACACATTTCAGGTACGCGTTCGCTGTATTATAAGATACGAAGTCCTTGTTTGTTCGTAAATTAAATGCTCCCGCGTTCTAAGCATGGCTCCAAAATCAATTCACGGCGTCCAGCTGGTGACGCACTGGTCTTTGTTCGCCCACAGCATAGGCAGACTAGTTATGTAAAATGGCTACTAGGCTACCCCGAAGCCATTTTCAGACCATGCCTGCTCTGACGCTGTCGAGGAGATCCAATCAGAAGCCCTTGCTAGCGTTGTTCCATGCCGAAATCCAGCATGTGAGGAGGCGCGGCCGAAGGAGTTGCCCGACATCACCCTCACGGCGTCAACCACGCCGGTCTCATCGATCGGTCGAAATATTACATAACCGAGCCGACATACACTGCCTCAGCGAAGCGTCACAGTTTGCTACGCGCGGGTTGAATGACACGCCCGTGCCTGGTCCACACGGACCGTCGAGCGATGAGTGCGGCTCGTCATGCAGGCGGCGTCTGCAGTGGTGGGACGGACGCGCGCCGCGGGGACGCGTGTGGACGCTGGCGGCGCACGCTCGAGCTTGGCTCAAAGCAGGCTTTCGTTTTCGATTGATACATTGTCGTGTTGATGTTACCGTTAGTTGGTTATCACCATCAACCCATGCGCGAGTGGACTTAAAGGGTCGGTAGTATGTCTGTTGACCGTTTCGTTTACAATACCACCGTATATCTTATCATGCACATGCGCATGCAAACCCACACACATACATGCATGCATGCATGCACGTAAACATATATGATATTGCATGCGTACCTACACATATGTACACAGACATGAATACAATCCAGACGAGGGAGCACGGTTAGCCAAATACTAAATTGGGTGTGGCATCCTGTAAACTCATAATCCACAAAGTATGTTCCCTAATTGGCAACCGGTCGCTACAGCGTCCCAACATTTTCATGTTTTGGCTTGGGCACAGACACTATGGGGGGAGGGGGGGGGGGGGGTCAGCACCAAACGGTTGCTGAAAAAAGCAAAAAGCAAAAGTGACGACGTTTCCGCCAGTTCTGCATCGATTGGCGCTGAAGGGTCACTTTTCTAATACTGCGCCTCGATGCGGAACAGCTAACGCCGAAACACTTCTACGGCGGACCTTGCGCGGAGGTGTCTGTCCGGTGGCAGGGCATGCACCCGCCTCCAGACTTTTCTCTTCACTCTGGATGATTTAAACATCAACATAGGCAGGGCTGTGGCGGCAGGCTTGCGAAGCGGACAGAGAATAGCTACGTCCGACGGGCGTGGCATTACCAGGGGCGGCTAACAACCTGAGCACATTTTTTCCCGGCAACAGCAGCCACACGGATAGATGAAGGGTGCGGTATGGCAGGTGAAGAAGCAGCAATACCAACTTTCGTATGAACTAGCCGTCGGCTTCGCCACACCACCTTTTCTCAGGATCCTTCAGCCGTGGCCACAAGTTAAGTGCGCTAGCGTATCATAGCGCCAACAGTTTACGTGTAATGGAATCACACTTAACCAACAACTGTGCGCGATGAAGTTCTTAGCTGGTCCCGCTGGCCGTCTTGAGGCCACTGGTTATGTCAGCTACCCGTACGGCGCTGGAGTTCGTGGACCAATTCAAGAGGTCGATGGCCTATGTGGCATTTTGAATTTGTCTTGATTGGACTGGAATGGATAGTTTTTTTTTCTGAACGCGTTCTTCGTCCGTTCAAAGTAAGTACTAAATCAATAAACCTAGCAGTGCAGGCTAAAAAGTTTGCCTCCTAAACATTTCAATTTTCTGAATTTCTTGAACTCAATTCTTCTCAAAGCTTTCTGGGTCGTTTCTAAAAAAACATACCTGGCGAACTTTCCCAAACAACTGGGCCCTCAATATACAACCACGGTACAGTTCACATATCACAGGGCCTGCTCAGGTCTGACCACGCCAACATCTGGACAGGTCCGGCCGCGGTCAGGTCACCTCGGGGCTGACAACGGCTGTGTCCCGGCATGGCCGCCGGACCCCCTGGGCGGGCCGCACACGCAGACCACGCCCAGTCTGGGTTCCCGGCGACGCCACTTCGGCAGACAACAACCAACACCCAGCCGCGCCGCACCTTGCTAACGACAGCGTGGTCACATACACAATCATACAAGCCCTCCAGCTCGTTGTTATTGCCAGGCCTCTTGAGCCTGTGCAAACAACATTCTTGGGCCTAGAGACCCCGACCTCAACACGGCCGACACATTGACCTAAGCGCGGCCGACACACTAAGCTCAGCACAGTCGACACACTGACCTCAGCACGGCCGACACATTGCGCTCAGAACGGCTAACACATTAACCTCAGCACGGCCGACACACTGAGCTCATCACGGCCGATACATTGACCTAAGCATGGCCGACACACTGAGCTCAGAACGGCTAACACACTGACCTCAGCACGGCCGACACACTGACGTCAGCACGGCCGGCGCACTGACCTCGGCACGGTTGATACACTGATCTCAGCACGGCCGACATACTGACCTCAGCACGGCCGACATTCTGACCTCAGCACGGCCGACATACTGACCTCAGCACGGCCGACTAACTGATCTCAGCACGGCCGACATTCTGACCTCAGCACGGCCGACATACTGACCTCAGCACGGCCGATTAACTGACCTCAGCACGGTCGACATTCTGATCTCAGCACGGCCGACATACTGACCTCAGCACGGCCGACCATACTGACCTCAGCACGGCCGATTAACTGACCTCAGCACGGTCGACATTCTGATCTCAGTACGGCCGACATTCTGACCTCAGCACGGTCGACATTCTGACCTCAGCACGGCCGACCATACTGACCTCGCCGGTTCGGACGTTGATCAGGCCTATGGCTACGTCGTGCTCGCTGGGCCCGTGGATAGCACCGTAGATGCCGAAGCCCACCACGAATATGCGTCGGTCCACCGAAAACCTGCGGGCGCACGGTGGATACAGCTTATCATGCGTCCCGCGTTGTACGCCGAACACAGCACCTGCGTCACTCCGCTCGACGTCCGCTGGGCGAGGGGGCCTAAGCGGTGCGTGTCGGAGCGTCTGACTCCGGAGATTAGCTGTTCAAGTAAGAGGATTGTCCCGTGGCAAGCAGGTAAGAATTTGCCACCTGATTCCTTCATTTCATCATATTTATCACCTTCATATTCCACATCCTTAAGCATGATACCAGCGCGCGAACATGCCACAAAATGTCAGGGTTTCTTTAACTTTCACTGGTCAGGAATGACTACAATTATAATTGGACTTCGGTAAGGTTCCTCCACTGCATACAGTAGATCGACAAATCTGCTCAGGAAAAAGTGCGAAGCATTGTAAAAAATAACAGCAACTCGGAGAGAACGCAGGACGGCTGTTCTAGTAACTTTTTCACCATGGCAGCACTGGGTACACCTGCATGATGGGCTCCGTGTCGGTGACTTTTTCATGGTACGGTTAAACTCATAACAATAAGAAGGCGCCCATTTAAAGGGGATGTTTCCCCTTTGATGACTTTGAAGCAAGCATCAGATATGATGAAAAAGCTCAGTTATGGCTATTGGTATACTTTTAAGTAGAAAAGACTGCTCTAAATAACACAGTGTCTTTGTCAAGCAAATATGCTCTTTGATACCTCATGCATTGATTGCGTTATCGTAACATGTACAACAAATTATTGAGAGCCGATTGACGGCCGTTATATTGGGACATAGTGCTCAGGAACGCCACATATGAACGACTCAACTAATATAGTTTTCTTGGCCTTGATCGCCGCGTGGCTCCCGAAAGGCAGGATTCAAATGGCATTACTATGACGTGACGTTTGACGTTTCTGTTAAGTACACGTGCTCATCGATAGCCTTTTTTGTTACATTATCGCAACTCGCACAACATTGTTCGAGAGCCGATTGACGGCCGTTACATCCTTCAAACAAAGCTCGTGAATGCCAGATATGAATGACTGGACAATCATGTGTCTTGGCCTTGATCGCCTCATGAAGAATGAAATGGCAGGATTTGAATGACGTTAGTTGTGGCGTCGTGGATGCCTGGGTGACCTCGAGATAGTCCTGTAGTCCTGATAGTCACCACATAGTCTGCACGTCTTGGTGGGCGTGTAGCTCGGAAATTAGAAAGGTCTTAAAAAGGGCAGGACAGTGAACTGCACCGAAGATCTTCGGGAAGGTCGTTTCAGTTCAAAATCCCATACAAATGTGGAACAGTCTCTTGAAGTGGAAAAGAGTGCCCTAGACAACACGGTTTCCCTATTTAGCAAACACGCTCCTCCAGATGTTATTGTGTAATCGCGCCATGGAACGTTTGTATGACGTTAGAGGTGCTATCGAACTGGCGATGAAAAATTGGCACCCTAGCACTCACTTGCAGTACTTCACCTCGCCGAGATACTGCGGCGGCGGTGCTCGGCGTGTTCGCCGAGGCAAATATCGTTACACGCTCGTGTTCTGGCCCTTTCTCGTGTTGTTCTTGCACATTTGTCCCGTGTGTTTAAGGTGTTTCCTTGCATTCACATACTCCGTTATGGAGCTGTTCTTAAGTCATTCGATTACAAGTCTTTCTTCGGTAAGATCTAGGATCTATGTTCAACTTCTTGCATTATGCAGCACACAACGTGAATCGTGCTTGAATCTTACACTGCCTGTACAGTAAAGATCGCGATCTAAATCGTAAGCTATATCCGAAAAAAATCCTCATGAATCCTCCTCCTCCTCCTCCTCATGTCCTCATGTCCTCATGAATACTAGACAAAACGGCTGGACAATTGTATTCTTCTTGGCGTTGAACGTCGCATGGCCAATAGCGTGACTTTAATTGAATGACGTTGCTGTGGCGTCATGAATGCCTGGGTGACCATGAAATAGTCTGCACGAAATAGTTTGCACATATTTGCGGGCGTGTAGCTACAGAGGTTATTAACTACAGAGGTTTAGATTATCTTGAGAAGAGCAAAACTGTGAACTGCACCGAATAATCTTCAAGATGGGTATTTTAAATAAAAATCCCAAACAGATGTGCGACACTCCTTTCAAGTAAACAAGACCATGCTATAACGTATAATGCTCTATGAGGATTGGCTTGCAGGTTACGTGAACTTGGGTAAACATGCACACATTTTTAAGGTAGCGTGACCAAAAGCATTCTTGAGCTGACTGACATCCGGATGTTTGTGTTACGTTAGATTTGTACGACTGATGTAACTTGCCACATTACCTGAGCTACAAAAACACATCACCCGATAATCCAGTAACGCGGCCAGAATCACGCTAGAAATGACGCTGGTGCCGCTGTAACCCCAGCGTGACCCCACGGTCCACCAGGGGAGGGGACGGTGTACAGGAGGCGGTCGGCTCACATGATGCGGTCGCTGGTGCCGCTGTAACCCCAGCGCGAC